AAGCTTGTATAACAACATTATTTAAAAAAAATAATAATTCCTTATTAATTTGCTTTCAATATTTTTATTTTAAAATCTGAACTATTTTTGTCGCTTGCACCTGCAAGTAAAATAACAGTCCCAAGTTAAAGTTTAATATTCATTTCATAATGGATAAGTCTTCATCAAATTATGTAAATTTATTGTGGAACTTTATTTGATCTGTAACGTTTTTATTTTAATAAATTCGTTAATACAGAGCCACTTTCTAATTCAATATGTTATATGATTATTTATTTATTAATAATTGAAACCGTTAGGAAAAACAATTAATATTACTATGAAAAATATATTTTTATCTACCTTTCTATGTCCTCTTTTTTAAAAAAAAAAACTAAAATAGTTTTTTATTTAGATAATCAAAAGTAAATGAAATTACTGTAAAATGAAATGAAATTATCTGACAAATCTAAAAAATAAATTCTTACATTCTATTGTTTGGTAATTAAAAAGTTTTAAGTATTTTTTATTACCTGATGGAAAACAAGTTAAGATTAACTGCAGTATTTTTGAAAAAAGTAAATTTTGTTTACACATTATTTAATCAAGGAATGTTATATGTAATTTATTTCATTTCTTTAAACAATTTTGATGTGGTGAAAATAACCAATTTTTAAATTCTTAATTTTTTTTTTAAAAAAAAGTTTTTTTTTCTTCTGTTAATGTTAAAAAGATGTTTTATTTAGTTAGCTAAATTTAGTTTCTTTACATAATTTTAATAATTGTATTTCTTTAAAATAGTTCATGAAATGCTTCATTGCGCTAATGAGTGTTCAAAAAGACATAATGCTGATTACATTACATTTGGAGAGTTTTGTGTTTATGCATCAGAATTAAAATCATGTTATGACAATAAGTAAGTTTTATTTTGTTAAATGGGGTTAATTTTGATAGTGCTTTGTTTTAGAATATTCTATTTTTATATTCAGTATTAAGAAATATAATTACAATATACTATTACTGCCTACTGCACCAATACTGGTAAAAGAAATTGCTCGTATTTATGTTCTGATTAGATTAAAAGATATCAATTTTAATTATTGAAAGATTTGGTTACTTTTTAATTGCTTGTTAATCTATACTCATTCAATATTCTTGCATTTATTATTTTTTTTAATATCAATTCGACATGTAATTTGCAGAAATTTCAATAATTAAAATATCACCTAATCATCTTGTTAAGTTTCCTGCTACTGTATTTGAAAACTATTTCTTTCAAGTTTTATGTTCTTGAATTTATTCTTTTAATACTTGGATAATGCATATTTTGCTTTAAAAATATTTCTCTCTTCAAAGTAAAGTACCTTAAAAAATAATTCTTTTTTTTTAGTATTAATTAAAATGTTTTTTTAATTTCTTAAAATTTTAATCGTAACTTTAAATTTCTGAAATTAAAAAGCATGTTAACAACACAAAATATTAAATATATTTTTGTTGATAAAAATATATCTGTAAAATATCTATTACAATGTATTTGGAATATTAAATGGTTTAAAAAAAAGTTTTTTGAGTATGTTTTTTAATCTTGCATTAACATTAATTTTTTATTCTAGAATTCCTCGCCCTACACCTTTGTCCAAAACAAAACGATTGAGAAGGAGAAATACTGTCCCACAACGTAAGCTATTTTTTCAGTTACTATCATTTTATTTTTAAAATTAGTTTTTATTTTTTCATATTAATTTTGATCTATTCGCAAAACAAAGCTTTTGTTTCACAGAAGTGCCAATTTTAAAAAAAAATTCTATGTTTAATTATTGGTTTTTAACACAAAGTAATCATTATTAATAAATCTTAGGATTTTTATTTCTAATACTGAAATTCATTGACTAAAATTAATTTCTACATTTTATTTGTAATTATATACATCAAAATATAACTTATATTGTCAAAAATATTTTAAATTTGTATTTATTTATTTAATAAAAATGAATCAAGTAGTAATCTTTTATTTTAAAAACTGATCTTTTTTCTTACTTTTTAATTAAAAAATGTTTTTTTCTAATTTCAGGTTCATCAAAATATCAAGGTAAGTTTTCTTTAAAGTATTTTTAGGAACAAAATCACATATCTAAAATTTTATTAAAATTTTTCAATTAAATACAGTTTGATTAATTCACCCTTTTATACTTTTAGTATTTCTTGGTGGCTCCTGTAATCCAACTACATGGAGAAAAGACATTGCCATACCAACATTTAAATCACTCAAGATTTCATATTATAATCCTGTAAGTATTTATTCTTATTATTCCTTTTTAAGCATCTTTATTATTGTCAAAATAGTGTTGATATATTCATCAAAATAGTTCAATGCAAGGAGTTTTATAATACTATAATTTCACTTTTAAGAGTGATTTGTGAGATGCTATTAACAGATTAAGCATTTGCAATGCTTGAAGACGACCTAAGGCCTGTTTTACAAAGAAAAAGTTTTGTATTGAGAAAAATTTCCATTTTGCAAAGCACTTGGCTATTGAGATAATGTTTAAAAACACAAGAATTATCTGTTTCAATGAATTAAAATAGATTTAAATTTTTATTATACTATAACAAAAATATAGAATGAATAAGAATCTTGTTAATTTTCTGTTGAGTTGTGCTAATGCATTAAGAAATGCCCAATAAACACAACTTTTCTTGTGATTATTGTTATAGTTATGAGTTCTTACTTTGTATTTTTTAAGAAAT